TACAATGGACATGGCTTACAGACAGCAATGAAACAAAACTGATAAACCCTGAAATATAAAAAGCATTGAATTCCTATAGTTGTGCTTTGTTTCTCTGGACACACACATGCTGCGGACTGAGGTCCTGTTAATGTTACTGATACACAGCCCTGTGTGCTCCAGAATGTAAGACAGGAACATCACAAGGAACAGCTACACAAAAGGAAAACAAGTACCAAAGTAATTTGGGATTTTAGAAGTTTTAAAGTCAGGCCATTCATAAACAGAAGTGCTGAAAACTTTCAAGGCACTTTGCATGCAAGGAAGGAGTAACCAAACACCACTGCAGCGTGGTTGAATTCTCACTGCTCTGAACCTGGCATGGCCAGGGCACTCTGTTAGCACAGACTCCAACTGTAACCTTTTTTCCCAGCCAGCACACAAATCCTGTGCCTTATGTTTCAGCTCTTTGGAATAGGGAGACGCTGGTTCACAAGTGTCTTACAGTTCATTTATCCTGAAGTATTTGCTCATATCTGAGCAAATGTAAGTTTTTAACTTGGATCGTGAGTATCATGCTGATAGTCACGGCTGTTATATTACTTATTCAGCAGATGCTATGAAAGAAAGAAAATAAATGTTTGAGTCCTGCAGAGTGCAAGCCAAATGCTTGGCAGCACAACAGTTGAGGTGTTGTACGGCTAAGGGAAAACCCCAGTGTTTTAAGGACTGAAATCTGTGATTTTTTTCTCTCTAAAAAGCATTTGTATGATTTTTTTTTTTGTAAACACACAATATACAAGGTAAGTTTGTGTTTTCGAGAACAGCAAATTACTTTAAAGCATTTCCACTGTAAACATCTGCTTTTAAGCTGCAAGGAAGTGAAAAGCAAGATGCAAACATGCCTCATGGCACTACCTATACAGCACAGTTCTTTATAATAAAAAAGAGCATAAATATAAATATCAATAGTTTCAAGTTTACAACATAACCAACTGGCACAATGTACGTATAAGACTGTTAAGTGATTACATACATTAACTCACACAAGTAATTTTGCTGCATAGTTTTCAATGCAATTCCTTTCTTTATTACACTGGTGGATGTTCAGTGCATTTCATGCTTTTTTTTAAATGGACCAAAGGATTTCTTGGAACTTGTGTTTAATCTAGAAATAAAAATAATTTTTTCCTGAAACTTTTAATAGGCATATTATAGAGTAGGCTTCAGAACGGAGTGTTGCACTTCTTTATACCAAAATTACTAATGAAGATTTAGAATATCATTACAAGTTATTCCACTGCAACTAAGTGAATTTTCATCAGGAGAGATTGATTTAGACACAAAATTGTTTGTTAATTTCCTCATTTCACTTACGTAATGGCAAAATTCAGACAGAAAAAAATTAAAATTGCATTGCAAAGGGCTTCCTTAAGGCTACTTCCCAGTTAATATTTTGTTTCAGCTGTCCTCCTAAATTATTTTTTTTTATAACACAGACATTGCTAGGATTCCATCAAAATACATAGCTTCACATAGACAAAAATCACACAACATGATTAAAAATTTTTGCTTTCTAATTGCTCCATAAAAGCCAAAGTATGAACATTAATCAGAATGCATTTTAAATTCCTCAGAAGACCTCAAAAAAAATACCCTGCCTGCTTAATGTCAGTCATAAACATGTATTATAAACAATAGATAATATAATGTCACTCATAGACATGTATTATAACAATATTACAATCATTTCTGGGGAAAAATACTTTAACATTCCTTTCCTTATGTTTTTAGTTATTTTAGGCTAGCTCTCTATTTAGTCACTACTCTGTGGTACAAAACCCCCATGGAAGTGTGTGATGCATTGTACAAATATTGAAAGCTAGAAGCCCTTATTTCAGGATTCCTCGAGACAGATCCTGATTAGATTTCTACAAATAATATCATCTCTAAGACAAGATTTGGCTTTAGATGCCAGATGTATTTTTGAATTTTCATCTTCTAGCCCTTAAGAACTGCCCTCCTCTAAAAGCAGATTATTTTATACCTTACAAAAGTTTTAAGACAGCAGTTATGGAACAGTTTTTGTGGAGCCACCATCAAAATCACTCTGCTTATGTTATCCCTCTGCAAGACAAAAAATGTAGTTTGCTCATAAAAATTAAGTAGTGCACTGAAATGCACAGTGAGCTAGAAGATAATGTGCAAGACCCCAGGGATGATTTAACTCCTCTGTCAGACACTCAAACAACCCACAGGGCTGGGAGCAGCTGCTACAAAGAGTAAATGTACTCCATGTAGCACAACCATCAACCTGCAGCAAGCCCCTCTTTGTTTCTCCATAAAAGGCAAACCAGAAAACCCCAAAATTTTGAATCCATGGCCAGCTGACGGCACAGCCTTTGCCCACAGGGACCACAGTAGCCCCAGCAGGCACTGACCAAACAACAAAATCTTTGGGCCTGTTTTGCTACTGAAGCAATGAGGTTTTTCCAGGACACTTGGAGCGCTTGTGCAGGTTTTACAAAGCTCTCCAGACCTACAACAAGATGTTCCAATCCAAATATCAGTGAGAAAAATTTCAGCACTATTTAGCACAGAGCTCAGGCAACTCTTCTGTAATGGCCCAAGCACGAGGCTTCACGGCAGCTGACTGATGTATTTGTGGTTTTGTCTAATTATCTTTAGCAAATAAGGGATTTATTTAATTTCACAAGAACATACTGTGAATGGTTGCTAAAACAAAAAGGATAGCAATCCAGTGCCATTTTTTCTTTCTCCTCATCAAATCCATGGCTTCAGCGTGAAAAACAATTTCAACGCAAAAATAACATGGTAGTGATAACAGCAATTTAGAGCCTGGGCAGGGCTAAAATGCTGAGGCACAATCTTGAAATACTATTTTCCTGGCAAGAAAATCTAGAATAATTTCATATTTTAATGTGACAGAATGCCAATGGGACTCAGATAAAGAAGTCTAGGTACCTATAGCACCCAGCAAAGAGCACCATCTCCACTGAGATTTTTACAGACAGTTTCAGAATTACTGTGCAATGGTTGGCATTCTCTACTGCATGCCTGGAGGTTATTTCAGAGACCCATAAGGAATTTATCACTATCTCTAAACTGCATATGTAGGGGTTCTTTAAGCTAATAATAAACATGTATATAGTGAGGGTTAGTGCAGCAGCCTGACACAAGAAAAATTACTTTTCTAGGAAAGATTATGTTCCATAAATTCAGAAGAAAGTTTCACACAGATCAGCTACATTATATTAATAGACAAACACTAATTTATGCACATATCCAGCCACCCAATGAGTATTGTCCCCTTCTACTGGTACATGACAAGAAGAAATCAAGGCATTATGTTCTCATGAGTCTGAGCTTATCTGTGATGCATTGTCAACTCTTCTGACATATACTGAATACATTCCAAGAAAAAGGAAGCAATTAATGACAGCATATTATATAATAGAAATAAAAAACTAATGCACCAAAACACTACTTACATTATCTACTTTTCTTGGAAAAAATAGTTCCAATTAGCTAATGTATTGTATAGGTGAATTTCTGGCTCCACTGAAGTCAATGAGTATTAGAACAAGAATCTCTTTCTGATGTTTTCCTACAAACTCCAAAGCCTGATCTTGCAAATACACAAGATGGATTTAATTTTAGGCAAATGATAGATCAGTTCCATGGATCACCCAAATAGAATTTGCAGAATCAGGCTCTTAAATTCTATTATAGTTACAGATTTATACCCAGTAATGAATATTAATGGATTAAAAAGAACTAATTAAAAGTCACGGTGTATAGAGATTTCTTTGACTTCCATAGGAGTAAGCAAACGTCTACTTCTTTATCCATGGCAATTACAATTTCCTACAGATGCTCAAATTCCCAGGGTAGTTTCATTAGGCTACATTTCTCATACTTCTGCTCTAGATATAAAAAGAAGGCATTGCATAAAGGTCAGTAACCAGTGAATACTTGGGAATTTTAAATTGTATTCCTCTCTGGGAGGCAGAAGAAGGTAAATAGAAGTAAATAGACACAATTAGAAAACACAAATGTTCTTTGCAAGACAAATTTCAGGATTAACACCAGCTGGCAGAACATTAACATTCATTTTTAAAGCTGATAGCTCTTCATCCTAGAGTGTCTACCTGCAGCATTACAAATTTGATATAAATCAGCTGCTGTGGCTAACTAGTCCTAGTACAGCAGTTTACTCATAACATTTATTTTAGGCTTTCTAATAACATACAAGTTTTCAGAGTCTAAAGATACATTAACTCCTGTATATACAACTTATTTTCCCTAGCACTAAAGAAAATTTGCTTTTAAGGGTTTACACTAAAGAGGAGGTGAAATTCAAGTCACATGACTTGTGGAATTAATCGCCCTGATTTCAGTGTGATCTATGTGAAAGTGAAATAAGTGGTATTTGGCTGGGGTACAGAAAACCAAGAGTGATACATCCAAATGAACCGCAGGGAATCAAAATGGAATTACTGAAATTACAGTCTGCAATTACTAAAAACACATTATGAAGTTACCACGCTTATGTAAAGAAGCTAATTGTAATTACCAAAATTATATTTAGCCCAGGTATTATCATTAGCATCTTTCATAAACATTTCTGTGAAGGGTTTAATCCTTAGTGATCAAGACCTCAGTGCTCTGCTGGTTACAGAAAACACCTTTTCCAGCAGTAAGATACCCCTTAAATCAAATCTCAGGGTTTGGTTTGGAGTCAGAATGCCACCTTCCAGATTACTAATCTCTGTTCCTACAGCAAATGCCATTTCCCTTTTTAATCTTCAATCAAATGACCCCAGAAACTAATTCCAGCTGGCTTATGAGTCATACTAAGCTTCAATTTCACAAAGATAAGTTGAGTATATTTGATTTTCAGAATATCCAGTCCATTGCTTTTTCATGGTTTTATTTCATGACTAATCAGATTCATTTCAGTGTAAAGTGATAAAACCTGCTAAAAATAACACCTCCACTGGTCATACATTCCCAATTCATATGTCATAAACAGCAGTTGTTATATTCACTAATTAGCATGATACATGCTCCTGATTACACTTTTGTTAAACTTAGGTGTCAGCTTTTCCATATGTCCCCTCTGGAGGTCTGTAGTACTTTGGGAAAGCCATCAGCTGTATCATGTTGAATGCATACTTTCTGCATTTGACATTCTTCAGAACATTCTCTATGCGGCATCCTTCTCTAGTGAAAGGGGGAAAAAGTACAACTTCATGAAACATAGAATAAATAAATATGCTTTATTTGTTCATTGCAGAGTTTCAGCAACAGTTGAAGTAAAAATAACAAGGATTCAACTCTACATTTTTGTTTTCCATGAGTGATGATACATCTTACAGAATTAAATCCAAGGCCAGGCCCAGTACACTTATTGCCCTCAGAAATAGGTGATAAGATTTTCCATCCCCCTAATATATCTGCCCTTGAGGTTTAAAGTTCAGTAAAAAAATTTAATAACTTTAATGATACATTTTGTTCTAATTCCAGAAATATATTTGCCTTTTAAACCTTTTCATACCTTTCTTTTTCAATTGATTTGCTATATATGTGTGAGTATACATTGCCCTAAAATGCACATTCTAGGAATAAGGAATTTTATTAAGTCTGGCCCTAGAGATTCGTGAAGGAAAGTTTCATCTCTGCTTCATTTGCTGTATGTTCAGCTTTGCAATGAAAAAAAGAGAGAATGGCTTTTCAAACAGCCCAATCCACCTCTCTGCTTTATAAAGGAAGGATGTTCGTTCACATACAGTACAAAAGTCACAAGTGCCAAAGTGGTGCATCAAGACATAAACAGGACTTTGTTAAAAAGAATATAAAAGTGTACTGAAAGCAAAAGCAACTAAAGCAACAATTACAAACAGGCTAATTTCATTACAAAACAGAACTTAGTATATTCTATTTACTCTACAGAAAAGGGTTAGTTGTAGCAAAGTAATAATAATTTATTAAACGAAAACAATCCCGTTAGCTAGTTACAATGAAAAAACACAACGGAAGATAAGTCTCACAAACCATTGCCCTGCCATATTTGTCTAGGGGTTAGTTTGTGTTGTGCAAATTTTTTTTTTTTTTTTTTTTTTTTTTTTTTTTTTTTGTCAGAGTAATTACTCTGGAAAGAGGGATTCAAGCATTCAGGATTCCACAACTTCTATACAGTGACAGCATTGTAAGTGGGCTTTCTTTGCGCTAATTACAGTGGGAAAGCTTTACCATGAACAGAAAGAGCAAATCAATTCACTCAATGCATAGTATACTTCTTGGAGTTCAGAAAAAAAGAATGAAAACACAGTACATTTCAGACATGGGAATCTTAAAGATGAATCCTTGGGGTCTGAGACTGTAGAAATATTACAACATGATTCTTTTTTCTAGAGTTAGTTCGTTGCTGTTTGTAGAAAAGAAAGGAACACAAGTAAAGTTTATTGATATTTGGCTAATAGCAAAGCAAGACTTAAAATAAGCCACACAACCAGCAGGTGTGAGCTGACAAGCAGCAAGGCGACAGGATAGAAGTGTCGAGCAGTTGGCTTGTTATCAGTTAGACAGCCTGTTTCGGGATCATCCGAGTCAGTCAGTGCTCCCTGGGTCTGTCTGCTGTTAAACAGGGAAGTTAGGAACAGATAGAACAGCATTTCAGCAGCAAAGAAAGCCAACACGCAGGCATTTTGACAAAATGAAAGTACAGAGCCATTTTGAGGAAATAGATTTATCTAAGTACTTCCAGTATAACTTTTGTGTTCTACAGCTGACACAGGAAGCACCATCACTGGGCGGCTACTAGCATACTAATGCTACTAGGTGCCTTGGAGTAGTATTCACAAGTGAACATTAAATCACTTCCACAATGAACTACACCATCACTAAAATCAACACACACACTGAACAGAAATGAAATAAGGAGGTTGAAAAAAAAAGTTAAGGAAGCAAAGAAAAAAAGATCATGAGTACGTCATAATGCAACACTGAACAAATGATGTCTCCATGGTGCTCACAGGCTTTTCAGTCCTGCTTCAGTATCTATTAGGAAGTTTATTGGCAGAAATGAAAAGGCCACACACTAACAGCTATTCTAAAATAGTATTAAATGATGGTAAACTGACTTCAAAAATTCATCACTGCTGGTGACTCAAAGTCCATAGCAGTTCTTTTTATTCAAAGGCTCGCACCTGCATTCCTGTAAGTAAATCACCTTGTATCTTTATCAGTCAACACAGGGAGGAGCTAATCTACTTAGAAGGAAGTTCTACTGAATCACGCTGGATTGTGTGGTCCTTGTCCTACCAGAGCAACAGGGACACTTCCACTGCCAGGCTTGCCTTTTGTATTCTTGACAGATTCTCTGTAAGTACAATTACTCACACTGCAACCACACTTCTTCAATTCCTCTGAAGCTTACTTGCATACACTCAGGAGTCCTGTTTATAGACTTCCTTTGGGCAGCAAGGACTGGCAAGATTTTTTTTTTTTTCTATTTACTATGAATATCCTGTGATGAAAAGATAACTTGCCATTTTTTAATGTGGACTTGAGAATATCCAAATATATCAGATGACAATGCAGTGCCCTTTCAGAAGGACAGGTCACAAGTATGCTCTTGCTTTCAAGAGAGAAAAAGCTGGCAGACATTATCTTTACTGTCCCACAGCTGCAGGTAAGATGAAGAGGATACTCTGAAAACAGCAGCAGCCACATCACCTTACAGAAAGCCTGCCTTCTGACTCGTGTGTTAAAGGGCAGTGCTACATTTCCTAAGCTTGGATAGCAAGAGAGGTGCAAGAGCTGCGTTTGCAGGTGGAACCCTAGGCAAGGGGGGGTTGATCAAAACCTTTCCTTGCCCAATTTCTCTTTTGAACAAGCCTTCCATAATAAGTTCTTAGTCTTAGTCTTTGCTTTGAACTTCAGTCTGTATGTTACACTAATAAAGGGATCAATACATACTATTTTGAATAGCAAAATAAGAGATAAAAAAATAAAACCCCTGCTATTTTCATCTAGGTCAAAGTAATTGCTGGTGGCAGGGTGTTTGCTGCTTTTGTTCTACAGATCTCAAGTGTCCATGGATGGAACTTGGGCAGAACTGAGACTTTGCTGTAGACATTATCTCAGAAACTATCAAGAAATTAAGCTGATTGCATGGTTTATTGGCCTTGTCAGCACTGAAATAAGTAATTCTGTGTTTCTCTATCAGACTGCTCCAGCTATGCCTCTGTCCTAGGGCCCACCTACAGAACTGCCTTCCTCTTCTGCTCACAGTGACATTACTATTTGTGATCAGCTGGGAGGACTAACTTTATTGTTCCCAGTTAATGTTGTCCTCCATTATGTATTTCTATATACTTTTTTAAGAACCTGCTGCTTGCTGGTTTTCCTTTTCTTTTTTTAATCTCCACAGCATCCCACAGGTTTGTCCCTTTGACCCTGTCCCCTTACTCCCTTCCAACTCCTCAAGGTGAGCCTGCAGGTTTCAGCTTACTCCCCTTATGCCCACAACTCATGAGAAGTCCAGCTCAACCCTCCCAGTCCCATCTCTTCCTTCCCAGTCACAGAGTCCGGGTGATTTTTGTTTGCCCTGCATCCCTTCCATCACAGACATCACGTGTGCTCCTATGCACACACCAAACTTTTTTCTTCTGGAGAAATCCATCTGGGCAGCAGTGAAGTTGAGCATTCAGTAGGGTGCACAGCCACTGCATTAATCAGATTGATTGTTTACACCAATCTGGAGAGCCCTGGCTTTGCACACCAATGGTTCATTCCAAGCAGGCTGAGTCACACACTTGCAGGTTGTTCCTACAGGGATGAACCCTCCTGCTTCTGTGGTGTGCCTTGCTCTGTTGGACTCCACATCTCAACAGTGTCTGGCTTTCATCTGCATTGCTACAAGTCACATTAGCTTCAGTGAGATTTATGCGGGAGTAATGATGGAAATACAGATAAAAGCCATTTGTTCTCTTTTTTTTTTTTTTTCCAACAGAAAAGCCTACAGTACATTTGTTCTTTGATATGCTGAAAAGAATGATCGGTGTCTTTTAACATAAAAAGTTTATCTTCCCCCCAGGAAAGCAACCGTGAACAGCTGATGCACAGGCACTCTGTTCCACAAATTAGTCACATCATTCAATGCATGATTCAATAAGATGTCGCCAAAATAGAGCAAGAGGATCCAAGTCCATTATTAGCTTCCTAAGAACAAGCTGAGCAGAATAGCTACGCATGCTTTTAATTGAGGAGGAATATTTGATCAGGGTCAGATGCCTTGCTATAGCGTGTGCCAACATTTCTCAGTGCAGTGCAGTGACAGTGCCTTCCAACACACCCCAAAGTGTCCTCTGCAGTGACTATTGAACAAAGCAAAGACCTACACCCAGCTGTCAGCACCATAACATTGCTTCCCCTGGCTCACCCCACCCTGGAGGAGTTTCACTGCAAACAGCAGAAATCCCACTAGTGCCCTGTCAGCTGGATTCATGTGGCTTCTGACTGACAGCACAACCAGAACAGAGCGCTAAGGGTGCTACATGCTCAGGTGTGAAGGTACAGCCATAGTTTCAGACGTTATCTCCATCACAAATTGAACTTTAACAGCAAAAGGAAGGAAGAAAACTTGAAAAATAACCAGCAAGTTTCTATTTTACAAATAATTTAAACAGAAGTAGTGAAACCACCTAAGTTCGCAACATCTGGAGTCATGAACACCCCACTAACCTATCATACAATTTTTATTCATTTACTCTCAAATTGTTCATTTGAGACCTCCGGCACAGCACAAACACATTGTAGCAGCCAAGGGTTCTGTAAGTTAATGACAATATAACCATTTCAGCCTGCCTTCTATCTCATTTGATGTTTTATCATCCTAAACTCCTGTTAGGAGTTGCTACATGCTTATCAAATGAGGCAAAGGCAAAACAGCAGGTATTTTTTGTTCTTTTCAAATTCAGCTGATAAATTATTTGGACCTCAAAGTAGTGAAGCAGAGATGATGAAAATGGTGTGAGGAAAAAGCCTCTCAAGTCCTTAAGAGAGTCAAGCACACACATGAGGGCACATTCTGGCTTTCGATTGTCAGTCACACTGATGTCCCTGAGCAACGTTTTTGGAGGAGATGATTTTCACATTTTGGGATGTATGCTTCTTTTTTAGAACTTTTCCAGCTACAGTTATTAGCAACACTGGAAACG